TTATCAGCTGAACGATTTTGTGATGGATACTGAAGACCTGTTACGTACGCTGGTCAGCGACCATAAACAGCGCGTGCTCAAGCTTCATGCCGACACCAGTAACATAAAGCCCCACGCTGACGGGGGTTATGAAATTACCCTTACCGATACAACCGTGCATGCCAGCACATTAATCAGCTGCGCAGGCAATGGCAGCAGCCAGTTGCAGCAGGCGTTAGGCATTACCAACCTGTCGGTGCAACAGAGGCCGCTGAAGCAGGTTATTGTCAAACACCAACACGATGTCATGATGTTTGCCCACTGTTTAACAGGTATTGCCAGTGACGAGCCGCGTTTGACCATCACCAGTCACCGGGAAGACAACTGTGTGAGCTGGTACCTTGGCGGCCAACTGGCTGACAAAGGGGTTGAGTTATCTGATGATGAACAACTGGCCACCGCCCGCGCGGAGCTTGAAACCTGCGTGCCGTGGCTTGACTGGCAGGCAGCACAGTTCGAGATTCTCACCGTCAACCGGGCAGAACCGCAACAGGCCAGCGGCATCAAGCCTGACGAAGCCCATGTGGTGCGCCAGCAGGATTTCATCCAGTGTTTTCCAACCAAGCTGACCCTGGCACCTGACCTCGGAGACAAACTCATCAACGTGCTCGACAACCCCAGGCATTCCACGCCACTGCAGACCAATCATCCGCAAGCTGAGCTCGGCATCTCGCCATGGTAAACCCCCTCCCTCTCCTGGCGCTGGGTAACACCGGACTGCTGGTCAGCAAGCTCAGCCTGGGCACTGTGAAATTTGGCCGCGACCAGGGGGTACGCTATCCCACGCCGGTAAAGATACCCACCGACAAGGAGATCATCAGCCTGTTAGAGCAAGCTGCGGAAATGGGGATCAATCTGATTGATACTGCACCAGCTTATGGCAACAGCGAAGAGCGGCTGGGCAACTTGTTAAAGCACACGTCCCAGCGCTGGCTGATCTGCACCAAGGTTGGCGAGGAATACGCCGATGGCATTTCCAGCCACAACTTCAGCCCGGAGCATTGCCGCATGAGTGTGGAACGCTCTCTGCAGCGACTCAATGTCGACACTCTGGATATCGTGTTGATTCATTCAGATGGTAACGATATCGATATACTGCAGAATCAGGGCACTCTACAGGCGTTACAGGACCTGAAACAGGCGGGTAAAATAAGAGCCGTGGGCATGTCACACAAATCCCGTGCAGGGGGTGAAATGGCGCTGGCGATGGGCGCTGATGTGATGATGGCAACCCTTAACCGCAGCGAAACAGATGATGCAGAACTGATAGAAAACGCTGCGGCGGATGGTTGTGGCGTGCTGATTAAAAAGGCCCTGTCCAGTGGCCATGGCAGCAGTGCAGACCTGACTTTTGTCGCTCAACACAAAGGTGTACACAGTATTGTTGTGGGCACGACAAGCCCGGCACACCTGCGCGAAAATGTTGACGCCATAAACGCCGCGGGCTAGCTGCCTTTGCTGCCGCGAATGCGATTCACTATGGCTGAGGTCGAAATATCCGAGACCAGGCCTAACACCTGTACTTCACCACCATAAGATCGCACAAGATCGGCGCCGACCACACCGTCAGGACCATAGTCGCCACCTTTGACCAGCACTTCAGGCTGTAACAGCTGCAGCAAGGGTTCCGGCGTGTCTTCAGAAAAACTCACCACCCAGTCAACGCAGCTCAAACCTGCCAGCACGCGACTACGGCCTTCTACCGCGTTTACCGGCCGGCCCTCGCCTTTCAGACGGGTCACCGAGGCATCATCGTTGATGGCCACAATCAGGCGATCACCCAGAGCGGCGGCTTCTTCCAGATAAGACACATGCCCCGCGTGCAGAATGTCAAAACAGCCGTTGGTAAACACAACGCGTTCCCCGTTGGCTTTTGCATCAGCCACCGCACGCGCCAGTTCATCCCGTGTCATCAGACCCCGATCAGCAACCGTGCCCTGCAGAACCTGACGCAGCTCAGGCCCGGTGACCGGCGCGGTGCCTGATTTCGACACGGCGATGCTGGCTGCAACGTTAGCGATCCGCGCACAATCAATCAGAGGCCACTTCAAAGCGAGGCCCAAAGCCAGGGTCGCCGCGGTTGTATCACCGGCACCGGTGACGTCATACACCTCAACCGGGCGAGCCGGCAGATGGCGTTTTTCTGTGGGTGTGCAAACATCCATACCCTCGCCGCCACGGGTGACCACCACGCCATCAACAGAAAGCAGCTGCACCAACTGCAGGGCTGCATCCTCTTTTTTGTCCAGATCCGTGCGTATCGACAGCGCATGAGCAAACTCTTTTTCGTTGGGCTTGATCACACTGGCGCCACGATAAACGTCCAGGGGTTTCATTTTGGGATCGACAAGCACAGGTACGGAGCGCTCGTTGGCCGCAAAAATAAGCGCTTGCGCGTCTTCTATGGCGCCTTTGTCATAATCTTCCAGAATCAGCACATCTGCTTCACGCAGATGTTTTTCTATCTTGTTCTGCACCACACCAATGCGTTCGCTGGCGCCGTAATCCGGTACCGGGGACTCGAAGTCGGCTCGGATCAACTGCTGCTTCTGGGCAAGCACCCGCAGCTTCACAATGGTTGGCCAATCCGGCACTTTGACAAAATCACAAACGACGCCAGCGGCGGTGAGCGTAGCGGTTAACGTCTCACCGGCCTCATCGTCTCCAACCAGCCCCACCAGGGTGCACTGGGCGCCAAGGCTGACCAGGTTCAGCGCCACGTTTGCCGCGCCACCGGGCCTGTGTTCGGTTTTCTGCACGCTGACCACCGGCACAGGGGCTTCCGGCGAAACACGATCCGCAGGTCCGTGCCAGTAGCGGTCCAACATAACATCACCCAGCACAAGAATTTTGAGTTGGCCAACCGACGGTAAATTGGGAATAGCTGCTTTGAGGCTCAAGTTACGTTCTACCGGGTTAAAATCCGCGGCATATTAACACGGCTGTGCATTCGCCTGCGCGCCCGATAACGGCTATGATCCGCGCCCGATGGCAAGGCGCAAACCCATACGCAAACGATACGCACCCTCAGTGTGGCCAACCTGGCTGCTGATTGGTATGGCGTGGGTGATTGCACGCCTGCCGTTACGTTGGATTTTCAGCCTGGGTGATCGCATCGGTCGCCTTGCTTACCGCATTGGCGGCGCCCGCCGTAAAATCGCCGAAACCAATATTCGACGATGTTTTCCTGAGCTGTCCGCCCAAGAACAGGACCAGTTGGTGCAGGACACCTTTGCTGCCGTCACCCTGGGTGCTCTGGAAATGGCCATTCCCTGGCTGAATCCCGAACGCGATCTCAGTGCACATTTCACCGTGCACGGCATCGATAACCTGGATGCCGCTTTATCTCACGGACGCGGCGCAGTGCTGGTTGGCGGCCATTTTGCGGTGATGGATGCCATCTGCCAGCCGTTGCGCGACATAGGCAGCATCGACGTCATGTATCGATTCAACAAGAACCCAGCCTGGGAATGGGTACAGGTACAGGGGCGAGCCCGCTTTTTTGATGGTGTAATAGAGCGGGAGAATATTCGCGGCACATTAAAGCGACTCAAACAGGGTCGCGCCATCTGGTATGCGGCCGACCAGGACTACGGTCGTAAACACTCAATATTTGCGCCTTTCTTTGGCATCCCCACGGCAACCATTGTCGCCACGTCACGCTTCGCTCGTTTAAATAATTCACCGGTTTTGATGATGGTACAGACCCGTGACGTTGAGAAGCTGCACTGGCATATTCATTTTTTGCCGATGCTGGAGAATTTTCCCAGCGGTGATGACACCGCCGACGCCACGCGCCTCAATCAATTGCTTGAGCAGCAGATCAGACAGAACCCGGCGCAATACCTGTGGATGCACAAACGTTTCAAAACCCGCCCGGAAGGCGACCCGCCGTTCTATTCTAATTAGCGTCGTCTCTGACTAACGTTGTCGATAAACCGTCAGCACGTGATCCAGACTGCGTGCCAGAGAGGCGATGGAAAAATGTTGGTCAACCCGCAAGCGCCCCTGGTGGAGCAGTTCGTCCCGGTCCAACTTAACCGCTCGGGCCAGCGCATCGGCAAAACCCTGGGGAGAATCCTCGCTGGCATAGGCACCCAGCTCACCGAGCACATATTTTGGCCCACCCTGGGGCAAGGTGACCACCGGCACACCCGCGTACATGGCTTCAAGCACCACCATGCCAAAAGCCTCCACCTGTACCGGATGCAGCAGGACATCAAAAGCTTGAAAATAATTCTGCGCCTGGGGCACCTGGCCCAGGTAAAAAATATTGTCTGCCTGGGGCAGCTCCCGAGTATCACCACCGCCCAGGAAAACGAGTCGACTGCCAGCGTTTTGTTGCGAAAAGCGGGCAAACGCTTCCGCAGACAGTTTGGGCCGCTTTTTATAGTGAATGCGTCCGACAACACCGACGGTGAGTGGGCCTTCCGGCAAACCCAATGCTGCAAGCGCATCTGCGCGAGACAGCAGCGCCGCCGCGGACCCAGGCACATCTAATACGTTAGGCAGCACAATCGGCTCGTGTTTCGGCTTTGACTGCAATTCTGCCGCCACGTCCGGCGAGACACCTGCAAAGTGCATACGCGAAGCAAACAGCCGCCGGTTCCAGCGGCGTTGACGACGCGACATCATGCCAAACTCATGGGCCACAACCACACAGAGGTTATGTGCCAGAGGTGAGCGCGCGATCGCCCAATAAGGCCGATAACGATGGCAGATCACCATGGCCCACTTCTCTGCACTGAAACCAGCAAGCGCACGGCGGATTGCTGCGGTGTCAGCAAGATCTTCAAGATTGAGATATCTGACCCGCTCGGGCACTTCCGTGGTGCCCTCTGATGCACCCAGGAAGACCGTGGTCATCTCGATCCCTAAAGATGCTGCAGCCAGTTCATAACGCCGGCAAAGCTCACCAAATGGCGAGATATCGTGGGGGCAGATCTGCAGAATACGCTGACTCACCGCGCATCCTTGGTGACCAGGAAATCTTCCAGCAGCAGATACTGCAGATCACAGCCAAAAAACATATTCAGCGCATCATCCGGAGAACACACCATCGGTTCACCACGCCGGTTTAAGGACGTATTGAGCAACACACCATTGCCGGTACTTTCCTGCATCATCTGCAAAAGCTGATGATAGCGAGGGTGGGCCTGCTCATCGACAACCTGCACCCGCGCCGTGCCATCCTCGTGAACCACTTCAGGGATCCGCTCACGCCAGGCCGGCGCAACATCAAAGGTCATAGTCATGTAAGGCGCAGGATGCGGCGGCTGAATAAGTTCCGCCGCCACCTCAGGTAAAACGCTGGGGCAGAACGGCCGCCATCGCTCCCTGAACTTGATCTGCGCATTTATTTTATCTGCGATACCAGGGGTGCTGGGACACCCCAGAATGCTGCGACCACCCAGGGCGCGGGGGCCAAATTCCATCCGACCCTGAAACCAGGCCAGCGGGTGCCCATCGGTTAAGATGTCAGCCGCCGCGCTTACCGGGTTGTCCATACGCTGCCAGTGACAGGTTTCCGAACGCTTCTGTAACGCAGCAAGGCACGCGTCCCCGTCAAAAGACGGACCCAGATAAACGTGTTGAAGGGGCGCAATTCGATCACCCTGCTGGTTTGCTACAAAAGTAGCGGCCCCTAAGGCGGTGCCTGAATCGCCCGACGCCGGCTGCACATACAGGTGATCAATGTTCGCCTCACCAAGCAGACGCTGATTGAGCTTCACATTGAGTGCGCCGCCACCAGCAAACACCAGCTGTCGCGTTTCGTCCAACACATCACCCAGGTAACGTTGAGTTAACCTGATCACCCAGTCTTCATAGAGCCGCTGCATCGCTGCCGCATAGTGCACGTAAGGTTCATCTGCATCATCGTTGCGACGACGCGGACCCAGCCAATCAACAAGCGCATCGCTGAAGTAGAAAGCCTGGCCCTGATCTTTATGGCGCCGCAGTCCAACCACATTGACATATCTGGTGTTGGCTCTGAAACCATCGCCGCTGGGCTGTATCAAACGCGATAAATCATATTTGTCGGGATCACCATAAGGGGCCATCCCCATGACTTTGTATTCGCCATCCAGCATTTCAAAGCCAAGGTATTCGGTGAGTGCACCGTAAACGCCGCCCAGTGAATCCGGATCATAAAATTCTTTTAAGGTGTGTATCTGACCGTTTTCACCATAACCGAAAAAGGTCGTGGCATATTCACCTTTGCCATCCACACCCAGAATTGCGGTCTTACCTTCCAATCCTGAAAGATGATACGCACTCGAGGCGTGGGAAAGATGATGTTCCACAGGCACAAACCGTGTCTTGTCCCAGTTAATGCCGAGCCGTTCACCTAGAGATAAAATGTCACGCCGGTGACTACGAAATCGACGATTGCCATTGAGCAGTGCATCCAGGGCTCGGTCCGGCGCATACCAGTAGCGTGCCGCGTAGACCCATCGGGCTTTTCTGAACAGGCTTATTGGGGCGTAGGGAAAAGCCACACAATCGACATCTTCTGCCCTCACCCCAGCCTGCGCCAGACAATAGCGTGCCGCCTGCTCCGGCCACTGATTTTTTGCATGTTTGTCGCGGGTGAAGCGTTCTTCTTCAGCAGCAGCAATCGTCTCACCATCGATCACCAGCGCCGCGGAGGCATCGTGCCTTAACGCACCAGACAGACCTAGAACGATCATAAACCAGCTTCTACCAGGGCGCGCTGCCATTGCGCCCGCAGCGCAGGCTGATCCTCCCAGTTTGCCAGGAAGCGGCGTATGTCACGTGCATTGTCACCAGATTGCACAGCGTCATAGTCGATCAAGCGCACGGTGGATTCATCAATCACAAAATTGGTGGCTTTCAGGTCACCGTGCTGCAGATTCGCAGCTTTCAGCCCCTGCAGCAATGCCACAGTTGGCGCAGCGAGTTGTGCAAAGTCTTGCGGGCGATTGGCCAGCGTCTGGCCGAGGTTACGCTCGCCGCAATCCGGCATAACAAGATAGCAGACGCTATTAAACCAGCCCCAGCGCAACTCCAGCAGGGCAACCGGTTTTGCGGTGGCAATCTTGAGGAAGGCGAGCAGGTGACCGTTTAACCAGGCATGCCGGGCGCGCCGTTTAAACCAGCGGCGTATTCGATGCATCAGGCCTTTGATGTTGTAACGCTTAACAATGTAGGGCACACCGTCGATATGCATGCGCACAACTGTGGAACTGTTACCTAATTTAAGTGGCGTGCCATCACCGACAAACGATTCAGGAAACAGCATGAAGCGCTGCAGCCGCGCAAATTGGTCACGATCACACAGAAAGTTAAAACGGAAATTTGATTGCCGGACAAATTCTGAACATTGCCGCTGGGTTTTTTTAAGATACCGGCGCACCCTCTGTTGCCGTGCTTTGGCCGTGAGCTTACGTAACTGTGCGGCTGATCCCATGCGACTGACATAGGCACCGCGCGCGGCGCTATAGGCTGCCCAAACCTCATCAATATCAACATCTGCGACAGGCGCCCGTTGTGCTAACAACATCGCCAGGTTGGCAAAGTGCTGGCGCAGCAGATGTGCGCGTCGAATACCGTCGGTATCGACAGCAAAGTATCGCCCTTCATAGCGCAGAAAATTAAAGATGTGCACGTCAGTCTGAACCAGACTGGCGTCATGCATATCTGCCAGCAGCTGCACCGCCGCCAGCATATCCTCCAGGTCACCATCAGATAAATTGTGCGGATCGTGCAGCGGCTCAAACAGCACAACAAATCCATCACCATCAGCACAGGCACCTGTTGCCAGCACCTGGGGTGTATTCACCTCCGCAGCATGCAGGCGGCGGGCACCGAGGAGTTCGCGCTGCCAGTAGCGGCGTGCATTCGGGCCGTAAAACACTTTGGCAAACACAACCTCACCGGCATGGGTTGCCAGACCACTGACCCGGCGCCCAGGCAGCACGCGAGCGACGTCGGTAAAGTTCAATTCTGTGGTGGTCTGGTCGACAAGGTTTTCATCGGGATCAAGACAGACGTCCACGACAAATGGCGCAACCAGCTCGCGACCTACCGCGACTAACCCTTCGGAGGAAAACTTCATGGTGTATAAAAGCCTTTCACAATGCCTTTACGCAACCCTTCGGTGTACAGCTTGTTCGCGCGTCGGCGCACCGCCCGCCAAAGGGCAGCATCTTCGCGCAACGCAACGGAAGCAGGCTTACCGCTGTACAGGGCAATGAAACGCAGCCAGTCCCGCTCGCTGAAGCCCAGGTCTAAGCTGGAAAACAGCAACGCTGCAAGGTCTCTTTTCAACCACCGAAAAGGCACTTTGTTGAAACGCCGTGCGCGATGCAGGTCTAACACGGCAAGTGAAACCGAACCCCCTGTACGAACAGCATCGTCGGAAAGCAGATGGCATATATAGAAATCTCGATGAATAAACCCTGCCTGGTGGAAGCGACGTGCAAATAGCGCAACCGCATACAAATACCGTTGGCGCTCAATGGGGCTTGGCGGATTATCCGGCCAGGTGTCGGTGATGTCTTCAAGGCTGGTGAAACCCGCCAGCTCGTCACACAACACAAAAGAGCGCCGTGATGCAATACTACCTGAAGACACCGCAAACGCAGCCGGCGCGGGCGCGCGAATCTGTTCTTCCAGCAGAGCCTTACACACATCAAATTCATTGGTTGCGCCAATTACCGGCCACTTGAACTGCAGCCAGTTTTTGATCACCTCAGACCAACCAACACCATAGTGCAGTTTAACGAAGTAGGCTCTGTCGTTCAGCACGACACGCAGCGTGCGACGTCCAGGCACATCCCGGAAGACCTCGCCCTGCAAAGCAAATGCCGTAACAAGAGGATCCTGTCCCTGCCACAGCTGCTGGATATCTTCGCGCAGGTATTTCATCTAAGCACCTTGTAACGACAGGAGGTGCTTTTCAAAAGCCGCTTTATTCCGAACGCGCACCTTCGCCACGCTGGCCTCAATGACCTTCATAGCATGGTCCGGCATGTTGTACAGCTGTTCATTTTCCTGGCCGAAGCGTACACCGTTGTTTGACCAGTCTGCGCGCTGGGTTGGATTCTGTAATACGTCGATGACTGTTTGATTAAGCTGCGCCTGGTCAAAAGGTTCGTCCAGCACCACGCCAGCTTGAGCTTCGGTAATAAAATGGGCAAAACCACACACGCCTGACGCAATGACCGGCAGGCCCGCTATGATCGCCTCCACCAGTACCATGCCGCCGCTTTCCATATAGGCAGGATGGACCATCAGATCGGCGCCCTGCAATACAGCGGGGATATCGTCACGGCCTTTGACGATGATCAGCATATGTTCAACACCCAGGGTTCGAGCCTGGCGCAGGAACTGCCGCGGGTTGTCTTCACCAATCACCAACAGTTTGGTACAACTCTGCAACGACGCGGGCAAACTCGACAACAGCACTAAGGCGCGATCAAGGCCTTTGGTGACAAACCCGCTGCCCACCAGCAGTAACAGATTTTCATCATCACCGATGCCAAACTCCGCACGCACCGCCTGTCGCTGCAACTGCCAGTGGTCACCGCGCATGCGGTCTTTGCTGACACCCGGCGGTAACATGGTCAAACGTTCATCTGGCGTTTGATAGCAGCGCTGGAACTGTTCGCGCTGGCTCTGCGCTATCAGCATGATATCAGTATCTGACTGGTCGCCAAACACAGCCCGCTCAAACGCTGACATGACCCGATAACGTTCCGTGCGGCGATACATGGCGGTACGCATGTTGCGGGCTTTGTGCTCAAAACAGGAGTCCGCTGCATAATAGACATCCAATCCCGGCATACGGTTGAAACCCACAATCGCGGCGGGCTGGCGCCAGCGGGCATCTTCGTGCATGCGTTCAGAAAAGCTCAGATAGCGACTGTGGTTAGACACCCCGGGCGCATCGATGATCACCACCTGAAAGTGCTCGGGGCGTTCACCTTCCCAGGCTGTCGCGTAAATAAGAATGTCATAGCCGCGACGATAAGCTTCATGTGCTATACGCATAAAGTCCCGTTGCAGGCCGCCATAAGCAAAATAGCGAAACAGCACAAATACCAGCAGCGGCCGACTGCCGCGGGCAAACCGCTCAAGATGATCCACCGCTTTAGGCACAAGTTCAAACAACGTGCTCTGATACTTCGCGGCCAGACCATTGGCCCGCCAGGTACTACGCTCAGGAGACGTCAACAATTCCACCAGCGCCTCATTCAGCGCGATCTGGGAGAATGGCAGCGGCAAAACAATACCCGTGTTCGTCTCGCTAAGGTGTTTAGCGTAACCACAATTACGTGTTACCAGGGCGGGCAGCCCCGCCAACATCGCTTCAATGATGACCATGCCCGCTGTTTCGTCGTAAGCGGGATGCAGCAGTGCGTCCGCGGAAAACAGAAAGCGCGGTACGTCGTCACGCCCTTCGGCAAAGAAGGTAACCTGGGAAGACAGCCCCAGGCGCATACTCATGCGTTCAAAAGCATCACTTTTATCGCGCCCGATCACATACATACGCACGCGATCACGTAACTCGGCAGGCAACGCAGCCACCGACAGCAGCGCGCGGTCCAGACCTTTCTTTATGAACCCTGAGCCTATAAATAGAATGACCAGATGATCTTCGGTCAGACCAAATTCCCGGCGAAACTCCGCACGAATTTCGGTGACGTTATCCGGGGCTACCCGATCCCGTTCAATACCCGGTGGCAGCGGGTGAAACCGCTCAGCCGGAGTTCGATAGTGCTGTCGATAAAGGGGTACCTCAACATTGGAAATGGTGAGAATTTCAGTATTACTTGCGGCTTCAAACACGGCCCGCTCGGCAGCCACAAAACTTTTGAAGCGAGGCAACAGACGATAGACGGCACTGCGCTGGGAGAAGGCTTTTTCTATGTAACAGGAATCACCGGCGTAGTAGACATCCAGCCCCGGCATTTTGTTAAAGCCAAGAACCAGATCAAAATTGTCAGCAGCTACCGCTTTATTCACGGCTTCGGCAAATCGCTCGTACTGGCGGTGGCGTGCCAGCCCCGATATGGGGATTACTTCAAGCTCAAGGTCAGGATCAATGGGTGCCTGCCAGCGCAGGGTAAATATTTTGACCTCGTGGCCACGCCGTTTACATTCGTTCAACATTTTCATCATGTCGCGCTGAATGCCGCCGTAGGGGAAATACTTGAAAATGCAGAAAGCAAAGCGCATCAGCTCTGCCTCATCAGATCTTGCGCCTGCTGCCAGACAACAGAAGGTGTCAGTTCGGCAAAACAGGGTGGCGTGACCTCTTGTGACTGCCACCGCTCGGGCGCACCACGATAACTACACGTACTGGACAAACACGGCGCACAGGCAAAGCTCGACTGCAGAACCTGCGCACGGGAACCGCGACAACCCGTTAACACCCCATCGGTCGGGCCATACAAACCAAGGGTTGGTGTGCCCAGGGCAGCAGCCAGATGTGTGAGTCCTGAATCCACACCAATGACCCCGGCGCTTTGTGCCAGTTGTGGTGCAAGCAGTTTCAGAGCGGTGCGATCCTGCAGGCGAGCGCCACTGGCCTCGGTGATCTGCCGGGCACGCTGCCGTTCGACATCGTCACCCCAGGTGAGCACTGGCTCGTACCCCGCAGCACTTACCTGCTGTGCAAGCGCCTGCCACATTATCGGCGGCCAATGTTTGGTCGCCCAGGTTGTGCCGTGTAACAGGAACACCTGGTTATTGCGTTCGTTAGGCTGAACAGTTGCGCCGATGTCGGGCAATTCGTCCGGGTTATAGCTATAGCCAAGGGCCGCAGCAAACAACTGGCGCTGTCGATCAATCGCGTGCTGGCCACGCTCAACGCGGTGACCTTTGCCATAGAAAAAAGCAGCCCAGGGCTCCCGCGCACAGGTATGCGAAAAGCCATGTTTGACCGCGCGGTTTAACACGCTGACCAACGCGCTTTTGATCAACCCCTGGGAATCGATCACCAGGTCGTAGGTGTTGCTGGCAAGTGTTTCGCGAAACGCTGACATTTCCGCCCCACTGGCTTTGAGATTTTTGCGCCAGCGCCGCCAGGCAATAGGGATCACCTGACGCACCGCGGGATGTAATGCGGGGATATCTGCAAACGCTTCTTCCACCACCCAGTCAAAAGTAATGCCGTGTGCTGCAGCATCACTGACTGCGGGCAAGGCGTGCACAACATCACCAAGCGACGACATTTTTATGAGCAGAACACGCACAGTTACAATTCACCCATGCGGGCGATCACCTGTTGCGGCGCAAGTTGTCGCAAACAGTTTAAATGCCCCAGAGGGCAAGTCCGTTGAAAACACGGCCGACAACCCATCTCCAGCTCAACCACCCGGGCCTGCGGCCCAAGCGGCGGCGTGAATTCTGCTGATGTTGAACCGAAGATACCCATTGTGGGTTTACCCAACGCGCAGGCGACGTGCATCAAACCAGAGTCGTTACAGATGACCTGTTCAGCAACTGACAAGAGATCTATGGCATCCACCAGCGAGGTATGACCGGCCAGGTTTTCAACCCCCGGCGCCAACTGCGCAATCGCGGCACAATCGTCCACATCTTTTGGCGATCCTAACAGCCAGACCTGTTGGCCGTTGTCCAACAGCTGCCTGGCGACTTCCGCATAGTGCTCACCAGGCCACTTTTTGGCTTCGCCGAATTCGGCACCAGGACACAGGATGGCGACATTGTCGGGCTGCAGCGCAAAGGCCTGCAGACAACGTTGCAGATTTTCTTCATCTACCACCAGGCGAGGCAAGGGGTACGGCTGTTCAGGCAGTTGCCAGGTATCGCTGGCCAACGCCATAAACCGCTCGATCATCAACGGATAAGCGTCTTTATCCAGCAAAAGCTGGCGATTGAGCAAACCGAACCTGGCTTCGCCGCGCCAACCGATGCGTTCCGGAATGCGTGCCAGGAAAGGCACAAGCGCAGATTTCCAGCTATTGGGCAGCACGTAGGCACAATCAAATCCGATCTGGCGCAACCGCTCCGCTGCCTGTCGACGTCGACCCAACTGCCATTGCCCATGGCCCACCTCCAGGCTATGCACTTCGTGCACTTCCGCCATTCGGGTTGCCAACGCAGCCGTAGCAGGCGGCGCCAGAACATGCAGCTGTATATTCTTGTGCTGCGCCGCCAACAGCTGGAGCAGCGAGTGGGCCATGACCATGTCCCCCACCCAGGCTGGCGCAATGATTAGGGCTTTCACGCCACCGGCGAGAGCCATTGAGGAAAGGCGTCACGTTTGCCGCGCACCTGGTCAAAATAAATGCTTTGCAACTGCTCGGTAATTGGACCACGTTCGCCGGAACCAATGGTGCGGTTATCGAGGGAGCGGATGGGCAGCACTTCCGCAGCGGTGCCGGTAAAGAACGCTTCGTCCGCAATGTAGACCTCATCTCGAGTGATGCGGCGCTCGTGTATTTTCAGGCCTTGCTCTGCAGCCAGAGCAAAAATCGTATCACGGGTGATACCTGCCAGACAGGAGGTGAGCTCTGGCGTGTGTAGCTCGCCATTTTTCACCAGGAATATATTTTCACCACTGCCCTCGGCCACATAACCTTCGTTATCGAGCAGCAGGGCTTCATCACATCCGGATTGCAGGGCTTCCTGCAGCGCCAGAATTGAATTGGTGTAGTTACCATTGGATTTGGCTTTGCACATGGTGATATTGACATGGTGCCGGGTGAATGAAGACGTACGCACTTTAATGCCTTTCTCTGTGGCGTCCGCATCCATGTAGTTCGGCCAGGGCCAGGCGGCAATACTCAAGTGCACCTGTAACCCTTCAGCACGCAAACCCATGCCTTCACTACCCAGAAAGGCCATGGGCCGCAGATATCCTTCATCCAGTTCATTGGCCTTAAAGACCTCGCGCTGGGCTGCGCTCACCTGCGCCTGGGTGTAGGGCATCTTCATACCCAGGATATGGGCTGAGTTGAATAAACGCTGGGTATGCTCTTCAAGACGGAAGATGCAGGGACCGGCGGGGGTGTTGTAGGCACGAACGCCTTCAAAAACGCCCAGGCCATAATGCAGCGTATGGGTTAATACATGGACTTTGGCATCACGCCAGGGCACTAACTCGCCGTCCATCCATATCCAACCGTCACGGTCGGCAAAATTCGGATTTGTCATTCACTTCTACTAGGTGGAACCAAAGCGCGGTATTGCACCATAAATGGGCTCACCAATACAGCAACAGCGCACCTCACTCGACGGGAATGATCAGGTATCCTGCGATGCGGGAGATACCCGCAATACCTCAGCAATGGTGGTCAGGCCTGCGCCAACTTTTTGCGCGCCAGACAGGCGCAGGGTACGCATGCCCTGGGAGAAACCCGCTTTACGGATATTTTCTAAATTAACATCACCGGTAATCGCCGCCTGGACTTTGTTGTTCATCGGCATGATTTCGTAGATACCCATGCGGCCGAGATAGCCCGTATCACGACATTCAAGACAGCCCTGAGGGCCAAATACTTTTGCCGGAGGTTTGACTTTGAACGGCTCGGTCATCAACTGCCAGGCTTCAAGGTCTACCTCTTCTTCCACCTTGCAATGGGGACACAGCGTACGCACCAGGCGCTGGGCCATGACGCCAAGCACAGTGGCTTTGATCATATAAGGAGGCACACCTAAATCGAGCAGACGAGACACCGCGGTGGGTGCATCGTTGGTGTGCAGGGTAGAAATCACCAGATGACCGGTCAACGCAGCCTGAATGGCCATTTCGGCAGTTTCCAGATCGCGAATCTCACCCACCATGATGATGTCCGGATCCTGGCGCAGCAGTGCACGTACACCGGACGCAAAATCGACGTCGATATTGTGTTGCACCTGCACCTGATTAAACGACGGTTCCACCATCTCAATAGGGTCTTCAATGGTGCAGACATTAACTTCGTTGGTGGCCAGCTGCTTCAGCGTGCTGTAAAGGGTAGTGGTTTTACCCGAACCCGTCGGGCCCGTGACCAGCACAATCCCGTTGGAAGCATGCGTCATGTCATGCCAGCGTTTGTAATCGTCGCCGGACAATCCCAGCTCCTGAAAACTGCGCAGCAGCACGTCGGGATCGAAGATCCGCATGACCATTTTTTCGCCAAACGCGGTGGGCAAAGTAGATAAGCGCAGTTCAATTTCGTTGCCTTCCTGGCCCACTGTTTTTACCCGACCGTCTTGAGGGCGGCGTTTTTCAGCCACGTCCATGCGACCCAGTATTTTCAAGCGGCTGGTGACCGCCGCGTTCACCGCTTTGGGCAACTCATAAACATGATGCAGGACGCCGTCGATGCGAAAACGGATCAGGCCTTTATCGCGTCTGGGCTCAATGTGAATATCACTGGCGCGCTGATCAAAAGCGTACTGCAACAGCCAATCAACAATGTTCACCACGTGGGCATCGTTGGCTTCGGGCGATTTCATCGAACCCAGCTCGAGCATCTGCTCGAAGTTGGTGATGGTAGTGACTTCCATGCCGGCTTCTTCTGCTTTCGCGGCAGAACGGGCGATGGTGTAGAACTCTAACTGGTAGCGGGTGAGGTCCGCAGGATTACACACCACCCGGCGAATACGGCGACCACGCAGAGTTTGCGTGAGCATCGATTCCCACTGATACATGTAGGGCTGACCGCTGGCGACAACTACGTAGTCATCAGCCACATCAATCGCCAGAATATTGTGGCGCTGAGCAAAAGCATAAGACATGACCTCTGTGGCCGCATTCACGTTGATGCTGAGCGGATCTATCCGCACGTACGGCTGATTAACCCGCTGACTGAGCCAGATGGTGAGCGTTTCAAGATCAAGAGTTTTGTTGTTCGCTGAATTGCGGTTTTCATACTCGCGGCTGGCAATGATCTCCAGCGGGTGCATGCTGAGCTCTTTCTGCGTGCGTTGCGCAATAAGAATATCTTCCGCCTGGCGCTGACCGATAAACCCATCTTCGACAATGGCTTCGAGCAATACCGGCAGATCGAGCAACAGCTCCTGCTCATTATCAAAGATATTGCCGCCAAAGCCCCGCTTTGAGGTCAAAACCGGCGTCTTATCGACCTTTGTATTTGTTCCAGGGGCAACGTCCGGCAGCTCCACTGTGCCGTCTTTGGGTACGGAAGATAACCCTGGAGATTGCGATTGCGGTGAACTAGCCAAGCAGTTGTCCATTCATGCTGTAAACGTGATTACCGCAGTATCCCCTTCAGACGATGATTTGCAAGCCATTCACGTGGCAGATTAGACCCACATCACAGGGTAAAAAACTCTTTTAATTAAACCACTTAAGTGCAATTACCCAGACCTTGGGACTACAATACCGGCCTTCTTTAACAGCTGTGGGATAACTACCCCACGCGGGAAAAATTGCGTGTTACCCAAATTTGACGACATGCTGGCAACCCTGGTGAGCGAGCCTTCCGTAAGCTCTCTGACGCCAGCCATTGATCGCAGCAACCTGCGCGTGATTGAGCACCTGGCCAACTGGCTCGACGCTCTGGGTTTTGACACCGAACTGATGCCCCTGCCTGATGCCCCGCACAAAGCCAACCTTGTTGCGACCTTAGGCTCCGGAGAGGGCGGCCTGGTGCTCGCGGGGCACACTGATACCGTGCCCTTCGACGAAACAAAATGGCAAACCGATCCGTTCACCATGACCGAGAAAGACAACAGGCTGTACGGCCTTGGCGCCTGCGATATGAAAGGCTTTTTCCCAGTGGCATTAGAAGCGGCCACCACCTTCATTGATAAAAAACTCACCGCACCGCTGACCATTGTCGCCACCTCCGACGAAGAGTCTTCCATGGCGGGTGCACGTTATCTGGTCGAGGGCGGCAAACCCAAAGCCAGTTACGGCATTATTGGTGAGCCGACCGGGCTGATGCCCGTGTACGCCCACAAAGGCATCGCGTTTATCTCAATTAAGTTACAGGGTGCATCCGGGCATTCCTCTAATCCGGACCTGGGCTGCAACGCGCTGGACTCCATGCACAAGGTCATGAGCGACCTGATTGCGTTTCGCCAGGAACTGGCCAATGACCACATCAACCCCGCATTTGAGGTGCAGGTACCGACAATGAATCTGGGCTGCATGCACGCGGGGGACAGCCCCAATCGCATCTGCAGCCATGCTGAATTGCAGATAGATATGCGCTTACTGCCCGGCATGGATACAAACGACACCATTAAACGCCTGCAGGAACGTCTGCAGAAAGCCATCGCCCAATGTGGCACCGCGCTTACCGTCACGACCCAATACCCGCCGGTACCGCCTTTTGAGTCCGATCTGCAGGGTGACCTGGTGCAGACTTTAGCGACACACTCCGGCGTAGCACCTGGCACTGTCGCATTTGGCACCGAAGGGCATTTCCTGCAGAGTCTGGGTATGGAAACTGTTGTGTGGGGACCTGGCAGCATTGATCAGGCACACCAGCCCAATGAATATCTTGCACGTGATCAGATTGGTGCCGCACAAGACACCTTAAGACAAGTGATCGCACGCTACTGCACGAGCTGACAGAGATGGAAACTTCTACGTATGCACGGTGGTTCCGTGGCTCAACCCCATATATCAGCGCGCACCGCAACAAGACATTTGTGGTGCTGGTACCGGGCGAGGCTTTTGAACATGTAAATCTTTCCAACATGGTTCACGACCTTGCCCTGTTACATGTGCTCGGCGTACGTCTGATTCTTGTGCATGGTGGCCGCCCGCAGATCGAGCTGGCGTTGCCCGAATCTTTTTACCATGGGCATAGACGTGTCACCGACGAACTCGCGATGTCGACCATCACTGCAGTCAACGGACAGTTGCGCACCCGCCTGGAAGCGCTGTTTTCGACAGGCCTGCCCAACTCACCGCTGCACAAAGTCGACATCCCCGTGATTGCAGGTAATTTCATCACGGCACAACCCATGGGCATTCTGGATGGCGTAGACCATCTGTTCACGGGCAGCGTGAGACGCGTTGAGACCCGACGCATCAGGAACAGCCTGGATGGCGGCGCACTGATCATTCAATCACCGGTGGGCTACTCTCCATCAGGTCAGGTTTTTAATCTGCCTGCGGAAGAGGTGGCCACAGAAATTGCGATCGCGTTACAGGCAGACAAGTTGATTTTCTTTGATGAAGTGGCACACCTGCGAGACGAGCAGGGAAAACGCATCAGCACGGTGACGCCAGGCAGCCTGGACCAGGCCCTGGCCACTACGGATGATGCAAACGCAACACGACTGCGCTACCTGCAGCAAGCCGTTCGGCGCGGCGTGACTAAATCGCACCTGGTACCTTTCACAGACGACGGCGCCCTTCTGGCGGAGCTGTTTACCGCTGAAGGCATTGGCACACAGGTCGTTGAACAACAGCACAAAGGGGTGCGAGCAGCTACACGCGAAGATGTTGCCGGCATTGTTGAAGTCATTCGGCCCCTGGAAGAATCTGGTGCTCTGGTGCGTCGTGAACGCGATCGACTGGAACAGGAAATAGATAATTTTCTGGTTGCGGAACTGGACGGCATCGTGGTCGGCTGTTGCGCGGTATATCCCTACGGCGCGCAGGCAGAACTCGCGTGTGTTGGCGTGCATGAAAACTACCAGGCCGGCAATGGCATAGGCGCACGCCTGCTTGCAGCCGCTGAAGAAACCGCACGCAACAACAACGTAAACACCCTGTTTGTACTGACCACCCAGACAAGAGACTGGTTTTTAGAACAGGGGTTTACCGACGCAAGCCCGGATCAGTTACCTGAACAGAAACAAATGTTATACAACTGGCAGCGCAATTCTGCGGTGATGGTTAAGACCCTATAATTACGAGGAATACCCATGGCGGACGAAAGACCGTATTCATCCATTGTTGTTGATGGCGTAGAACAAGCACCCAGCCGTGCGATGCTGTATCCGGTTGGCTTCACTGAAGAAGATTTCAAGAAACCACAAATCGGCATCGCCTCGACCTGGTCAATGGTCACCCCTTGTAACATGCATATCAACGCACTCGCTGATGAAGCCGTGAAAGGTGCTGATGCTGCGGGTGCTAAAGCCGTGCTGTTCAACACAATCACGGTATCCGACGGTATTTCCATGGGCACACCAGGCATGCGCTATTCGTTAGCCTCCAGGGAAGTGATCGCCGACAGCATCGAAACCGTTGTTGGCGCACAGGGATTTGATGGGTTTGTTGCCATAGGTGGCTGCGACAAAAATATGCCTGCCTGCGGCATCGCGATTGCTCGCATGAATCGACCCGCCGTTTTCGTTTACGGCGGCACCATCATGCCGGGCGCTGAACGGCGCGACGTGGTTTCGGTTTTCGAGGCGGTAGGACAGCACGCCGCTGGCAATCTGTCTGACATCAAGCTCAAAGAAATTGAATCAACTGCCATTCCGGGGCCTGGTTCCTGTGGCGGCATGTACACCGCTAATACCATGGCATCGGCCATGGAAGCGCTGGGTTTATCGTTACCGAACAGCTCTGCACAAAACGCGATCAGCGACGCAAAAAAACAAGACAGCTACAATGCCGGAGCTGCGGTACGCAACCTGATCAAGCTTGGCCTTAAACCCAGTGACATGTTGAGCCGTGAAGCATTCGAAAACGCCATCACTGTCACCATCGCTCTGGAAGGCTCCACCAACGCCGTATTGCACCTGTTAGCTATCGCACATGCCGCCGGCATTCCACTGGAACTGGATGACTTCACCCGCGTGGGGGCACGGGTGCCTGTGCTCGCCGATATGAGGCCAGCGGGCGTTTACTCCATGAGTGAACTCATCGCTATTGGTGGCATACAGCCATTAATGAAAACGCTACTTAATGAAGGTTTACTGCACGGCGACTGCATGACTGTGACCGGTAAAACACTGGCAGAAAACCTTGCTGGGGTAGCTGACTATCCGTCTGACCAGAAGATCATTCGGCCAATGAACAACCCGATCAAGAAAGACAGCCATCTTGTTATTCTGCGTGGCAACCTTGCACCGGAAGGCGCTGTTGCCAAAATCACCGGCCACGAAGGCTTGAACTTTACAGGTAAAGCCCGGTGTTTCCATGGTGAAGAGGCGGGCATGGCAGCCATTATGGATGGCACGGTGCAGGCGGGTGACGTTGTGATTATTCGTTACGAAGGCCCCAAAGGCGGACCAGGCATGCGGGAAATGTTGAGCCCCACCAGCGCCATCAATGGACGCGGCTTATCTGACGATGTTGCTTTACTGACTGATGGTCGTTTTTCGGGCGGCTCCCGTGGCTTTGTTATTGGCCACGTGACGCCAGAGGCGTTCGAAGGTGGTCCTATCGCTCTGGTAGAAGACGGCGATCAGATCACTGTGGATGCCGAAGCTAAAACCGTGATCCTGCATGTAGACGACGCCACTTTAGAAAAGCGAAAGAGCCAATGGCAGCGACCTGCGCCTTATACCACTCGTGGCACGTTGGCGAAGTACGCCAAGCTGGTGACCAGTGCGAGTGAAGGTGCGGTGACGGATAAGTATCTGGACTGAACAGCAGATCAGTTTGGGAGCGCTTGCACCAAGCCCAGATGTTCAGTCATAAAAGAAAAGTCACGATCTGAGAAAAGCAAGGGTATAGATGCATCAATGCAATATGCCCCAATGATCATGTCGTTTGACCTTCTTACTGTGACCCCCTTTTTTCGCAGCGTGCGGTAACACTCTGCAGCACGCAGCGCTCGAGATATTCCAAACATTTCGTGTACGGTAAAGTTTAGTAGCAGGTTTTTGGCTTGTTCATAATCCGCATCGAGACGAAACCCCTGTAGCACTTCCATCAAAATCAAGTCACCAATGACTATCTGCTCGACGCCCAGCAAACTGTCCAGATAGTCTGTTTCTTTACTTTTTCTGCCGTTAAAAAAGTCTATCCATACACTTGAATCAACAAGGATCACGCACTATCTCGCATCGCGTCGAGATCGCCCTGCCACCTCAACTTTCCTCGAAATTCTTTGACGCGTTCCTGTCGTGATAGCTTCACCAACATGGCAAGCCCGAGTTCTACTACCTCCCGTTTGGATTTTGCACCTGTTGCTTCGAGCGCTTCGGCCAGCAGATCGTCGTCGATGACAATATTGGTTCTCACTGGAATCACCATGTGTATATTTTAGCCAAACTATACACATTCATCACAAGATATCGAGAGGGCTGCGCACTGCGTTTGCACCCTTGCCCAGTACATGGGTGTAAATCTGCGTTGTGGCGAGGTCTGAATGGCCCAACAGTTCCTGTACCGTACGGATATCGTAGCCGCGCTCGAGCAAATGCGTTGCGAAGGAGTGACGCAAAGTGTGGCAGGTTGCCTTTTTATGAATGCGCGCCAATTTGGCTGCGCGCTTGACTGCTCGTTGCAGCTGAGCCTCACCAAGATGATGACGCCGCTCTACCCCGCTTCTTGGATCAATACTACGGGCAGCGGCAGGAAACACATACTGCCAGCCCCACTCTCTTGCGGCGTTTTTATATTTACGCGCCAGCGCATCAGGTAACCACACTTCTCCGAAGCCCAGGGCCAGGTCGTTTTCATGCAGATGTCTGGCATCGCGCATCTGGGCACGAAGTGCGGGTTGCAATGACTCGGGGAAAAGCGTTCGACGGTCTTTGCCGCCTTTACCTAACCGTACCGTTATTTCCGAACGCTCAAAATCCATATCTTTGATGCGCAGCCGCAGGCACTCCATGAGCCGCATACCTGTGCCATACAGCAAACTGGCGGCCAGATGATGGACGCCTGACAATTCGCCCAACAACGCTTGAATTTCATCTCGCGTGAGCACAACCGGCAGGTAGTCTCTCGCTTTGGCTCTGCGGACATCCACCAGCCAAGGCACCTCTATATGAAGGACTTCCTTATAGAGAAACAATAAGGCAGACAGCGCTTGATTCTGAGTAGATGGCGCGACTCGATCCTGCACCGCGATTCTGGTGAGAAAGGCTTCCAGTTCACGCTTGCCCAGTTCTGCTGGATGACGTTTATTGTTGGCTAAGATGAAACGCCGAATCCAGCCGACGTAGGCATACTCTGTACGCTTTGCCATCCCAAGCCTACGGATACGATAGCGAACCTGGTCTAGTAATTTAGGTGGCGAGCGTTGATCGTTAGATGGCAAGTGTTCAACTCTGGTGGAAAAGTACCGGAATTAGCGTATTGATTTTGGTTTCATTATTAATCAGGCTGAGAACCAGAAATGACGTGGGAAAATGGAGAATTGATAATGGGTTATATGGATTACACGTCTCTTTATCATCACGTTTTGTCGTGTAATAAGTGTTAGGCGGCTAGGGAACACCGCT